ATATACTGTATATATATCTCTTTTTTTTTTTTTACCTGTTTCTAACCTGTTTCATTTATGTATGACTGACAAATATGCAGCACATTAAGTTTATTAGTTTGTTAAAACCGTGTAATCCAAATGGATGGAAATTTTATATGCGATGAAAATGCGTGAATCTTTTTGGGGGTGGGAACCTTGATTCTTAAATAAAAATTGCTGATGTTTAAGGAACAAACTAGCCCTTGTTTATATGTTAAATTCTGGGTGCGATCGTAATGTTTCAGGTCAAATTTATCCTACAAGGATTCAATACAATTTGCTAAAAATCATAATATAAAAGAAGAAGAAGAAGAAGAAAAAAAACGATAAAAACAACCTTGAACATTAATATTTTTTCAAACATTATCAAAGAAAGTGAATAATAATATATGCATAAAAAATAAATATTATTTAAAAAAAAAATATATATATATATATATTTATCTTTTTAAATTTTATTTATTCTTATTTTTTCATTATTTTTGTGTGCTTTCCTGAACCTCAAACAGCAAAATTCACATGCATAAACTGATAAAAACTGACGCCTTCAATGCGGAGTACGTTTCTTCAAATAAAAGCATCTGTGGTTTGCATAAATGTAATGTCAATACTGAGACACGGACATAAATACATTGTGCACCTGCCTTTGCTCATTCATTCATTTAGACGCATAGATTTGATTTGCTCTTTCTTTGTCTCTACTGTGTCTGCTTTCCTCTCAGAACTGTGAGCTCCTTCAAGAAGATAAGAAATTTGTTCCAAATGAAGATATGCTCAACATACGCAAAGTGCATCTCGATGATGCCGGATTTTACACCTGCAAAATGACCTTTCGTGTAGCTGGAGTCGTCCGTGAAATGGCCGAAACTATAGAGTGTGAAGTGAAGGGTGAGCATTTACTGCACAATGGGAAGATGATGTGTGAACATAATGACAATTTGCTGAAAACCCACTCACCCTCAGGCCAGCCAAGATTAGGATGAGTTTGTGTCTTCATCAGATTTGGAGAAATGTAGCATTGCATCACGTGCTCACCATTGGAGTGAATGGGTGCCGTCAGAATGAGAGTCCAAACAGCTGATAAAAACATCACAATAATCCACAAGTAATCCACAGCACTCCAGTCCATCAGTTAACATCTGGAGAAGACAAAAGCTGAAACTAATCCAGCATTAAGATGTTTTTAACTAAAATACGAGTCCATAATCCATAATAACTCTTCCTCCAGTGAAAAAGTGCATCTGCTGTTGTCTCTCACGTCAAAATCCAGCCACATATTTGTTTAGAGCCGTTTTGGCTTGTAAACGCTGCTTGATCTGTGCAGATTTCTCTCCTGATTCAGACCAGAACACCTTTTCACTGGAGGAAGCATTATTATGGATTATGGACTTATATTTTAACTGAAAGCAACGGTTTGAAGTTAAAAACATCTTAATGCTGGATGTGTTTCAGCTTTTGTCTTCTCCAGATGTGAACTGATGGACTGGAGTGCTGTGGATTATTGTGATGTTTTTATCAGCTGACCCTGAAGCAAAACAGTGCTTTAAATCACTGGTATATGATTATTTATAATTACTTTGCCCTTTTAAAGCTTTTTTAATTATTGCAGATGAATTTTTAATGAAGCCACAAATGATCGAGCCGGTTAATGAGATCATCAAAGTGGAGAGGGGTGAGCTGGACATTTCATTTATTTATTACAGTATTATCGTTTATTTATCGCTGTTTTTTAGCCACTCAATATGTGACCCTGCAGCACAAAAGCAGTGTTAAGTCGCTGGGGTATATTTGTAACAATAGCCAAAAATACATTGTAAAATTTATGAATTTTTTTTTAATGCCAAAAATCATTAGGATGTTACGTAAAGATCATGTTCCATGAAGATATTTTGTACATTTCCTTCCGTAAATATATCAAAACTTAATTTTTGATTAGTAATATGCATTGCTAAGATCTTCATTTGGTCAACATTAAAGATGATTTTCTCAATATTTAGATTATCTTTGCACCCTCAGATTCCCGATTTACAAATAGTTGTATCTCGACCAAATATTGTCCTATCCTAACAAACCATACATCAATGGAAAGATTATTTATTCACCTTTCAGATTATGTATAAATCTCAATTTAGAAAAATGGACCCTTATGGTTTTGTGCTCCAGGGTTACATACTGTATATTAGAACTGACCTGTGAATGCTTTTTAAATCCAATTCAATTCCTAAATATGAAATGGGGTTGCAAATATGATGCAGAATTGCATATTTGACTTTAAGTAAACAAGAATTAATGGAAGAATTCAAATGCACAGACAGTAGGTAATTTTTGACTAGAGAAGGGAAATTTCAGTCTTTCATATGATGTCTAAATCTCAATTTTAAAAAATGGACCCTTATGACTGGTTTTGTGCTCCAGGATCACATATATGTGTTCTGTACACATGAAGTTCATTTATTAACCACATCCTACAACTGAATGCACAAAACTGCAGTTTGTACGTGGCCTATCAGAGTATTATAGACTCAGCCTGTGTTTGTTTGTTCATAAGGTTCATCCTTCAGGAAGGACTGCGTGGTCGTTGTTCGGGGAAAAGGCATTCCCATGGTTGATGTGATCTGGAAGGTCCTGCTGGGGTCTGAAGAGGAGTTTATATCCCAAAACACGTCACATCGCGTTCATCAGAAACCCATGAAGTGCGTACTGAATTTAGCTGTGTTTCAGATGAGATAAAGATCAGTTTCAACTTTCATTTGGTCAGGTTTGGTGTCCACAGTTGAAATGAATTATCCTTTGAAACCACATAGACTAGATACAGTGGGTACAGTTACCGCATAATTATCTAATATTTAAAACATTTTCATTTTTGATTTTTTTTTCCAGTAAACATAACTATATTGTGATGCATGTCATTACTGTGAAGTAAGATTTGAATTATAATTTGTTGCTTTAAACCATATAAACTAGACATCACACATTCATTTTGAATAAGATTTTGATTTGCATTCATAAATTCCTACAAAAATACTAAACTAAGACGAAGCACCTTTCATTTGTATATAATTTTATTCGCTGAATAATACAAAAGTAGCTGTTACCACATGATTATTTAATATTTAAAACATTTTAATCACTTTGTTTTTCAATCAAAAATAAAAATATGTATTGTGATATGTCATTACTGTGAAATAAGAGTTGAATTAATTATCCTTTGTTGATTGAAACCATATAGAGTAGACTTCTACATTTTAATACTGTATGAATAATCTCTTGATCTGCATCTGTAAATTAACGACTGAAAAGAGAAAATACTCATAACATAACATTTGTAAAGTATTTCATTCATTGGATAATACAAAAAAAATGATTAAATAGCTAAAATATTCTCATAGATTTTTTCACCCAATAAAAATAATGTACATTGTGATTATATATCATTACTGTGATCTAAAATTAGAATGATCCTGTGTTTTAAACCATTTAGATCAGACTTGTCATACATTTATTATGCATATTCTTTAGATTTGCGATTATAAAATAGCTACAAAAGAGAGAAAATTCTTCAATAATGTGAAGCACTGTTGATTTGTGAAGTATTTCATTCATCGGATATACAAAAATAGCCCTTACCACGATATTATTTAATATTTAAAACACTTTCATTGGTTTTTGCTAGTACAAATAACTATAATGTGAATGACTGTATGTTGCTCCTGTGGTAGAAGACTTGAATTAATTATCCTTTATTGTCTGAAACTATATAGACGAGACTTGTTATGCATTTATTATGAATAATCTCTTGATTTGCATCTATAAAATTCGTACTAAATGGCAAAAATTATCAATAAATTTGAAGTATAATCTATCGATTTGCATCTATACATCTATAGATTAGTAAAGTATTTAATTCATTGAATAATACAAAAATAGCCACGACCACAATTATGTAATATACAAAACGTTTTCGTTGATTTCTTTTCGCAGTAAAACTAGTCTTACACATTTATTACGAATCATCTTTGTATTTGCATCAATAAAGAGAACTAAACTTAAAAGAGAAAATACTCAAATAAGATAAAACCTTTCATTTGTGAAGTATTTCATTTATTGGATAATACATGATTAGATAATATAATCAATAATTATGTAATATTAAATATAAAACCATTTTAAATAATTTTTCCCAGTAAAAATAACTTGTGATTTATTAATATATATATATATATATAGAGAGAGAGAGAGAGAGAGAGAGAGAGAAATGTACAAAAGTGATATTATGTCCATAGAAAGCACATGAAATGTAAGTAAAGTGTCTATTTTTAAGGTTTCAAATAAGATTTTGGAGAATAAAATGTTCAAATTTGGTTGAAATAATGTTACGTTGTCATTCAGTGTAACACAATATTTATGTAAAAATTCAAATAACATGCTTATTCTGACGTGTACATATTAAAATATGTATAAAAGAATAAGAGAGCATATTAAATGTTATTGTGTTTTAAATGAGTAAAAATTCTTACTGACAAATGGGCAAAACCTAGGATAGTGGCACATTTTAAAAATGTAAAATGACAACTAATTAGTATTAGGGGTGAAAGTAATTAGTCTTTTAATATGCCATAAACTGATTTTTGTTGTAAATATGCCTGACAAGATTGTTACAAAATTCTTACTGACAAATGGGCAAAACCTAGGATAGTGGCACATTTTAAAAATGTAAAATTACAACTAATTAGTATTAGGGGTGAAAGTAATTAGTCTTTTAATATGCCATAAACTGATTTTTGTTGTAAATATGCCTGACAATAATGTTACACTGAATGACATTTTAGTGTCTCTTCTGTAAATCAGGGGAAAAATGTATGATATTTATTTTTTGCTCAGAAAGACAACAACAAGATTGCAATTAAATTAAACAGAAAACTTTTTTTTTAAATTGGGGGGGGGGAACAACAATTTAAAGCAGTATTACACTTATTGTTTTTAATGCTTAAACCCTTTTTCGTCTTTGACCCATATATATATATATATATATCATTACTGTGATGAGATTTATTTGCATGCATGCATATTTCATGAGTCACACGACAGATATAAGGAAAAGAGATTAAAAAAAAATAAAAGATGATTAACTGTAAAAAGACTTTATTGTGAGTATAACACTGGTAGACAGAGACCACATCTTTATGGTCTCTGTGTGGTAAAAATACATGTGGGTGAATATTCCTGTGTATTAGTGTGTATTGTTATGCTGGTGAGTAATATATTTTTCCTTCAGTTGAAGTGTAACCCTTGTCCTTTCCTCTTAAAGTGAAAGCAGAACGACGGATGGTTTCCTTATGGTGCGAACGCTCTCACTGTCTGCTGTTTGGGAGGAAGATTTCTATTTAAACTTCACCTGTATGGCATCCAGCAGCCGAGGACAACCGAGCGCCCAGATCTCACTCGTCCCTGCGGGTGCGTCACAACAATACCTAAATCAGTATTACTTCAACACAAACATTCTCTATCAGCCAGTTCATTTGATAAATATGTGCATTTTTATTAGTTCAGAAACCTGCCACTCATAACTGTACATCAGATATAATTTTGTGGTACGGCACTTTCACTCTCATTGTCGACTGACAGATGACTTGTTGTTGGAAACTTGACCCCTGGTTAAGCGAGCAGTGGGTGTTTCTCATGTAGACAGAGCTGCTGAGATTTTCCTGCAAGCAAAGCAAGAGAAAGCGCAGACCATCAACAAATCTGCACCTTCTTGTGTTATTTTATTTAATGAATTTATTGGGTTGTCTAAAGTTTTAAATGTTAACTATCACATAAATAATTCTAGTAATCACTTTTAATTAATATTCGTTTTTACTGAACATTTTAAATGATTTTATATATATAAAATCTATATAATCAATTTAAGGATTTATTGAATTATTTTTTTTATTTATTTTTTTTGATGAATATTGCAGTGACTATTTAAAATGCCATTTAAAATAAAATCCAGGTTTGCTGTGCTAGTTTGTAGAGCTCAATTTGCACAATTTGAATATTTTATATCACTATAAATGAATAATACATTTTTTACTATTTTTATATTTCAATGTAAAATTTTAAAAAAACAAGTATTTAAGAAATCATATAATAAGTAAAATACAAATAAAAATAAGTAAAATACTAATATTGCAATACTAATATTTATGGCTGTCTTAATCAAATGTTAATAAATAATTGCAGGAAACTTTTTTTTTTTTTATTAATTTACAACCCTAATTTATTTAAATATTGAATAACAACTTGATTGCCCCGTTAATAAATGTATTTACTTTTATTTATTAAAATATTAATGTATTTACTTAATGGCTGCTGGTATCGTACTCATGACAGATTTGTCTGATTTCATTCCCTGCATCCTGTGTTTGCAGAGTAACATGTTTTAGAGTTTCTATGCATTTCTATATGCGTTTTAAAGATTTGCAAGTGGCAGCGATTAGTTGTTGCAAACTCGGCCGCTGGTTAAGCGAGCAGTGGGCGTTTCTCATCTAGTCAGAGCGAGAGAAAGTACAAGAGAAAGTACAAACCAGCAACAAATCTGCACTTTTTATGTTATTTTATTTTATTACGAAGAGTTTATGAGTTTGTGTAAAGTTTTATTAGTTAACTATCATTTAAATAATGTAAATAATAATTATTGAACATTTAATAAATGATTATACCTCATTTATGTTGATCTACACAATAATCAGGGGAACTGATGTGTTAATATATTTATTGAAAGATTTAACTACATCAATTTTGAATAATGAATATTTGCTGAAAATTGTGTGATTTAATAATAAGCGTGCATATTTCAAATTAGACATCTGTGACCACAAATGGTGGCCTAACGCCAAACGCAAGCCGTATTTAATGTAGTCTGGGTTAGAGAGCCGCATGATTTGAAGAAAAACAAATCTGATTATTTATTTTATTTCCCTGAAAAAATGCAATTGCAATTTTAAACGCAATTTTAAAAAACTCCAGGTTTGCTGTTCTTGTTTTTAGAGCTGCACAATTTGGCGTAAATATTTTATATGACTATAAAATAATAATAATAAATGAATAACTACATAATAAAGTTATTACTAAAAATATCAAAATAAGAAGTATTACTATATTAACAATTCACTGTAAAATAAAAGAAATGAGAAGAGAAAGAAATGAGAATTTTAGAAATACAATAATCATTTTATTTTATAGTACAACTAATTTCTTATACTAATATTTAAGGCCGTCTTCATTTTTTTGTTTTTTTATTATTTTTATTTTACATCACTAATTTAAATGTTGAAGTTATATTGATTTTATGTTAATTCATATTAATAATAAAAATATTCATTTATTTTTAAATGACTTTAATATTTAAATGTTAATATTTTTAATATCTAATTTTTAATATTTGAAGAAAAAACATCTTGAAAGCCCCTCTCTTTCATTTCATGATCTAGTTTACATATATTTACTTTTATTTATTAACAAATGAATGCATTTACTTATCAGATGTTTTTAGTCTTATTTAATTCCCTGCATACTGTGTTTGCAGGGTTGCATGTTTTAAAGTTTATAGAAAGTTTATATTGCCTTTAAGTGCATTTGAAGATTAGCCAGTGGGAAGTTATTTTTCTTGAAGCAAACGTGATCTACGTTCACGTTCATTATGCTAGCAGAACATAAACAGCTGTTTTTGTTTGTCCTGTCTATTTGTAGTTCTGCACAATTTGGGCCAAAATTTTGTGATTTTATATATTAATATGACTTTAAAATAGTAATAATAATTTGTATTATTATTATTATTGTTGTTGTTAAATATTATTGTTAATATTATTATTACTAAGAAAATATTAAACAAGAAATAATACTATTAATACCAAATAATACCAAACGTTACCCCTATTTAATGTAGCCACACATTTTGGGGAAAAATTTATAAAAATCTGAAAAAATGCAATTGCGATTTAAAAAAATAAATAATAATGTTTTTGTGTACACACACACACACACATATATATATATATATTTATTTATATTTTATTTATAATATGACTATATAATAATAATGATATAATGATAATGTATAGTTTTTAACAAAATAAATATTTCACTGTATAAAAAATGTGTATACAAATTGTGTATTAGTAAAAAATAAATAAAATATAAAATGTTTTATTGTAAATAAGTATTTAAGAAAAATAATAATAAATTTTATCTTACAGTATAAGTATAAAATTACAATACTAATATTTTTGGCTATATATTTGTACCATTTGAACGTATTATTCTGTCTGAAATATTGATTTGTCATATATTTTGAGTTTCCATCACTACATTCTTCAGAGCTTTACCTGGCTCTTCCCGGTGTTTTCCAGCTGTGGTGGATGTGGTGCAGGACGCTCTGAGCCGCTGTCGCAGACTGCTGCTGCTCTACACGGCGTCGTCGCTCTGCAGCCCGGAGGCGCAGGAATGGGCCGAGCAGCAGACGGGTCTGTACCGAGCGCTGGTGGAGAACTCCATGAGGATCGTGCTGCTGGAGCTGGAGGAGATCCGCGAGCCGCTGCGCCTGCCTCACTCCGTCTGCCTCCTCAAGGACAAACAGGGAGCTCTGCAGGCCTGGAAAAGAAGGAAGAGGTGGGCCTTCTGCAACGGGAAGTCAGAGGAGCGTGTGTCCTCTCTCAAGCCCTCGCCACGCTTCTGGAGGGAGGTGCGCTACCATATGCCCGTCAGAGGCAAAGCTAAAGAGAGAAACTGGTTTAGTTTCTAGACTAACACTAAATGTGAATACTCAGGGTCAAGTTGTACTGTGTATAGTGATGCTGTCAACAATCTGGAGGTCAGTCTACAGGTTTACTGCCAGTAAACGCTCACTTTCTTAGCAGCCTTTGTTCCAGAAGTTTATTTTTGGTTTAACCGAACCAACCAGTTGCCAGATGAATCATAAGTTTCCTCATGACTTTCCTCTTTTTTGGTGTCTGAGGAGAAAAACTAGACAAGGCGATTCCAAAAATACTTTTATTCAGCAAGGATGCATTAAATGAATGAAAAGTGACAGTAAAGACATTTATAATGATTTATATTTCAAATAAATGCTGTTCTTTCGAACTTTCTATTCATTAAAGAATCCTGAAAGATCAAATATATCACGGTTTCCACAAGAATATTTGTCAGCACAACTGTTTTCAACATTGATAATACTCAGAAATGTTTCTTGAGCAGCAAATCAGCATATTAGCATGATTTCTGAAGATCATGTGACACTGAAGACTGGAGCTTTGATCACAACAATAAATTTAATTTTACAAGATATTAAAACAGTTATTTGAAATATTTCACGGTTTTTATGTTTTTTACTGTATTTTTGATCAAATTAATGCAGCCTTGGTGAACAATTATTATTTATTTTTTTTTTGGATTTTTACTTCCGGAGCTCAGCTGTTTCTCTGATTGCAACCTCAAAATATCAAGCTCAAAACTCATGAGACCCCAGAGATGAATCCTGAGGTCTGTTGTTTCCTGAACATGACACCAGACCTGATGTGGTTCATGATATTTTCTGAGTCAAAGTCTGATGAGATAAAGAAAACACTTGCACATCAACCATTCTGTGGCCAGAAAAAAGCAGCTGTAAATACAATATGAAAAAAAATTGCAGAAATGATGTATATAAAAAGACATTTCTTATGGTTTTGTTGTGGGATACATACTATGCTTTTGTCAGTATATAACGCAAAATTGGTTTGTCACACATTCTGTTGAGCATTCCTATGTTAATTGTTTTTATTTTATTTTTAAGATTTTAACTCCAAACATTTTACCATGTTTTTATGTACAGTATAGATTACATTTTTACTGTAAATCGGAAGAGACGGAAAAAGATTTGTTAAAATACTCCCACTCTGTAAATAGTTCCTGAAAGTGTAACTCAGTGGCACTTTTGAACACATTGCTCTGTTTATTTGAGCATGCTGTTTGTTAGCCGAGACTATCCGTTTGCCCCGATCAATGCAGATTTGAGGACAATCATTGGTTTTGCTGTTCTGTCTGGCCGCTAAAAGTACAGAAATTACCTTTTCATCAAAGAAGCGTCGACCCAGATTCCATTCCACAGGTTTCCGTTCAATGCTGCCAGTTTTTGTGAACTACAACTTCAGTCAGATATTACACATGTATGAGTTAGAGAATGGTGTGTGTGTGTACACACACACACATTACATACAAAACAAACACACATATATACAGTGGTGTGAAAAAGTATGCATGCACTGTGTATATATATGCATGCATGTACATATGTGTGTGATAGAGGATTGTCTTGATGTATTATATTAATATATAAAGTATAATAATATATATTAATATAAAATTACAGATTAATAAATGTATGAAATTATGAGAGGGATAACAACAACAACAACAATAAAAATCTGCTTATGATTTTCACATTCCAGATCTGTTTGGACCTGAAGAATCATTGTTTTTTAAAACATTCATAGCTTAATATTTTTCATCTAACTATATATTGTATCTGATCAGCAGCTTTTTATTACTTTTACTTTACTTTTTTACTTTTAGTCATTTAGCAGATGCTTTTATCCAAAGTGACTTACAAATAAGAAAAAGTAATTAAAACTAAAAGCTAAAACTCTATAATACTCTATATATAAATATACATTTAAGAAAATTAAATAAATTAAATAAAAATGACAAACGCGTACAACATTTCAAAACTAAACATTTAAATGAAAACAAAAAAGCTAAAAACAATTCAAAATATTAAAAGAACAAAAGGTATGAGTATAATAATGATTCTAGCATAACACTAAGCCAAACACCAAAAAACAACTACATATGTGTATGTACAACCACACACACATATACATGTACATATATATAAATACATTCAATATATATATATTATTTAATTTCCATTTTGTATGTTGAAGTACTGAAATAACTCAAATTAAATAAAACTAAAGCTTAATAAAAAACCTATATAGACGTAATAGAAAACAAATAAAATGACAACATTACTACAACTGTAACTAAAACTAAAATAGATAACTAATACAAATCAAACTACATTAGTTTATCAGTAATCCTAAAAATATAACACTGAGCCAAACACACATGCTAAAATAACAACAACTTACTGACACATAGTAAGAAATGGTTATAAAAACTGAAACCGAATAGTAGGATGAATTATTATTATTGTTAATTATTAATGAGTGAATGTGGGGAAAAAATGGAGAGCGGGGTGAGTTGAGCCACTTTTACTTGCAGTGTGTTTAAAGTGAGCGCAAACAAGAGATGAGAGAGAAGAGATGATCGGTTCATGTGCCGCTTTCTTAAATATATACATTTTTTTTTTCTCATTTTGTCTCTCATAGTTGAGGTATACCTATGATGAAAATTACAGGCCTCTCTCATCTTTTTAAGTGGGAGAACTTGCACAATTGGTGGCTGACTAAATACTTTTTTGCCCCACTGTATATACAGTATAAATATATACACACATGGGTGGCTCAACTTCCCCACAGTCTCAAATCACCCCGCTCTTCCCTACTGCATTTACTCTTTTTGATAAAAGAATTGAAAAATTATTTGATATTTAAAATTACACATAAACCAAAAATTACACTTGTTGCCCAACAGATATTACAAAAATATGATTAATTTTAGTTGGAAGTCTGAATTCACAAAAAAATATAATTTCAGATGTTTTGAAACAACATACAAAACCCTAGTTTCTCACCAAAAATGTCATAAAGATGAATTTTTTATGGAACTAGAATGGAAAGTGATATTGAGGACTCAGCCTAAAAACTGGATTGCCTATTAAAACAATATTCAAAAGAAATGTTTTGTTTGAATCATGTTGATCAGGGAAATTAGTTTGAATGATCTCTTTCACATTGTTGAAAAGAAAAAACAATCAGAAAAAGAAAACAAATCACTTCATTGTGATTAACAAAAGCTAAAATGACTTATATTTTCTTTATATTATTTTAAATGGTGGTTTTAATGTCATCCGTACGCTCTCAGAAAATGATGTATGGATGAGGTTAAAATCACCAACCTTTTCAAACGGACTTGAGGTACTACCTACATAATATCTACACTTTAGGTACAGATATGCATCTTTTCGGTAAATATGGTACAAATGTGTATCTTTTGATAGAGTACCGTGCATTGATCTGTATATATATATATATATATATACACACACACACACACACACACGCACACACACTGTACCATATATATATATA